ATCATTTTTTAAAAATAGCAGCAAGTTCTAACTGAGCAAAAGATTGGTGGAGAAAAGCACAAGCCTCTCCAAAGTTCTGAATATGTGCTCCTTATGGCCAATCGACATGACAGCCACAAAGTCAATCTAATTAGTGACAAGAAGAATTAATTCAGAAGAAAGGAGGGAAAACTTGAACCACTTATTCTTGCTCCGGAAGCCAATTGGACATGTAGAAGACAGAGATTATCTTTTCTCTTCAAGGTGTGCTCTCTGATGTTCTGACAGTTCTGTCTAGAATAAGAGCTCTGTAGATTGCCTTCCTTCCGTGATGACTGCCATTCATTCCATTATTCTCACACTCAACCGAGATTATATTTTTGATAAAATAGAGGAAGATCCCTACTACATTGCTTATTATACATATGCAACATTAAGAATTTCCTTGGAACTAATATTAGGGAGGCTAATCCCATCCTCCCATTCTGAGCTTCTTGGAGATGATTTACAATCAGATTAGTGGACTGATAGGACATGGGGTTGACCCAACATGGCGACTCTTTGGACTCTCAGTAATAAAATGATTAACACTAATGTTGTTATGCACACTGATTAACCCTTACTCTTAGCTGTGAAGACAACTTTAAGAAATATAAAATATACAGTAAAACATTTGATTTCAAAGCAGAATGCACGGTCACTAAGTTGACCACCACAAGAAACCTTATCTTACCATCATTGGTAGTCTGACAGTCAGACTCTTAATCATTTGAAGAGTAACAATTTGAGTAGAAATGTGCTAAGAAAATAGCAAGGATGCAAGACGGAATTCATTATTGTGCATATCAATTTCACTTTTATTTCTTTAGTTAAAAAAAGGAATAAATTTAGCAGCCAAATGTCCTACATTTGTACATTACTTAAACATTCTGAAGTTGAAACAGCCTCTGCAGAGCCTAGTGCCCACCTGTGCAATGAGGCAATTTTAGCTGGACTTCAAACAACGGCAGATGATGTCAACATTTGACCCATAATAATAGTTGGACCGCTCTTCAGAGACAATGTAACCTGTCAGTGATAGTTGGAGGTGGGGGGACAGATAAAATAGGATTTTTTTTTCCTTCACTCATATAATTTGAAGATTATAGAATGTGGTTTTTAAAGGTCAGAATGAATTGCTAATTAAGTTGAGACATTTGAAATTAGCAAATAAAACTGCTACTCAGAATAGTGGCTAAGGAGTAATTAATCATACAGGGGGGAAATGGCAACAAAGTAGAGCCACAGTAAAGTTACCTTTTAAATAGTTGGGTAGACCCTGCAGATGATGTTACTAAGAAACGGTGAGATATTAATTCCCTCCCTTTCTGTTTAGGCTGTACCCTTTCAAAAAGACAGTGTTCAGAGTTTTTCTAGGAAGATAAAAATCAAAGCAGATATCCATGCGAACAACTTCTCTTTAGGTATTCAGAAACATGTGGACTAGTTATGACTCTTCCCTCTATGTTTTACTCGACATTTTATCATAAGCATAGCCTTAAACCCACTCTAATTTTTACATATAAGTCACTGATAATTGTTGCATTTTAACTATTATAATACAAAATTACTTAATACACTCTTTAAAAACCAGTGTTGACCGCCCCCACCCCCAACCTTTGAGAAGGCCTGCTTTAAAATCTGCTTAAGAAAATATTTTGGTTTTGGCTTCTAGGTCCTTTTGTTTCCTTAGGTGCTACATTTGCCATACTTCAGTTTGAGTCCATGCTGGGGCCCTCAGAGTTTTATTCTACATCAAGGTATTTGTATATTAAATTTAAAGACAAATTTACCAACATGAATATTACCATGAAATATATAATTTGACATGCATATCTTAAACTAGAAAGCCAACTAAGGCAGCATTTATATAGAGATTTGTATTTTTAAGCACTTGATGTTTATTAATTAGCTAATCCACACCACAAACCTATGAGGTAGTTTAGCATGACTTTAGTATGAATAAACTAGGTAAGAAGCCAAAAAAAGAAAAAAAAAAAATCTGTCCCCATAGTAATATGTTGATCAAACCCTTCTCATTCTGGTCACAAAAGAACAACAATCAATTCTTTGTACAAGCTGGTCAAACAATCAATGAATATTTAGCTTGGATGGAATGTAGAGAGGGCGCTTATTACCTGACAGTATAGAAAGTTTGTTACTGAAGTTTGAATATGCTGTGCTCACAGTGACTTGTCAGTAACACCTCACTCAAAGATCAGCTTTGGAAGAGGTGTGGCCACCACCCCTCCCCGCCACCCCAGGCTCAAGTTTGCCTCTGGGAGGCATTTTTCATCTGTCTCATATTCTTCTTCTCTTGGTCTGAATCGTCTAATTAACTCAATTCAGTAGAAAGGTATAAAGACTCTTGCAGTTCCAGTTTACGTTATATGTCATCTAAGAGGCGAATGAAAAATCCTATATTGGTCTTTGTGGTCAAGCAATTGCAGATTAGAGCTTTATTACTATTTTTATCAGCAAAAGAGATCACTGTGGTCCTCTCTACTTAGCAGATTGTTTTATGATGGTATTTGTTAGTGCACTGGGCTGCGGAGTTGATATATAATGAAAACTCATTAATTTGGGTTTCACTACCATGGCATCTGTGGCCACTGGCGCAGGTGCTGGCCAGAAGCTTACCTCTTACTTGAAGAAGAAAAACTCTTTCAAAAGTTAAGCGAGTTGCATGACCAGGTCTGTAGGAGTATTTTATCTGTATACGAAGACACAGATGATTTCAACCACTTAGCAAGTATCCTTCTAAATACAAAGAAAAAAAAATATTCTAATATAAGGATGCCATTAGGCTTCTGCTTATGTTAATTTTGTGTCATTTTTCCCTCATTGGAGCAAAACCTCAAACGTCAGTAGTTGGTTACTTTAGTTGCCATAACTCCAAGTACTCTGGAACAGTGAAAATACTTTATATATTGATAATTTGGATCGTTTCTTTCAAATAGATAGGGTTCTCCCCTAGGTCCCTTGAACTGAGGTTTTATGGGAAATCCCAGGACTCGTTCTTATCTCTCTGGGAGTCTCTGCTGTCATCAGGTGGCCCTACCCGAGCAGCTCCACCACAGCCAGGTCCCATGGGTCTGTTCCTCTATGCCAGAATTAATTTGGCTATTTGAAAATACTTACCTTACATCTCACTTCCATCAGTTCCATAATGAATTGGAACATAAGACATGATCTAATTAAACAAATATAACCATACTAATACTACTATTGCTACTAATAATAAATAAGAACAGAACGAACAGCTAGCTTTCTAAACAAAGATGTCTCCATCTAAGACTTCCCCAAATATAAATAACATTCATTGGCCCTTCTTGTTTAAGACTTAATATGTCAACTCCGTGGTACATTGGAACAATCATTTCCCTTATTTATGCAAAAATAAATAAAGAAATTTGAAAACAAACAAACAAAATCTCTGGCAGGATAGTTACTTTCACTTGGCAGTTTGCCAAGGAGCAATGGTATTTAGATGAGGAATTCTGAAATGATCTGATTATTATATCTGGAAACTTATCTGTAAAGGGTTTGGCATAGCCTCTCTGTAAAGCAAAAGAGATCTATGTTCACAGGCTCAACTATATCAGGTTATTAAAAAACAAAACAAAACAAAACACTTGAGGGTATGAGCTCACTCACTAAACACAAAAAGAACCAAAGTTTTTTTTTTGTTTGTTTGTTTTTGTTTTTTGGGTTTTTTTCATTTGTTTTTATACTTGGACAGTGCTTATTTTACAGCAGAATGGACAAATAAAGCATTATTTCACACATTGGAAGAAAAGTCATCGTTGCAGGTTTGTAGCTCTGTTGTGTGCTTTCCAAAACAGCAAAATAGATTGCTTGCCATCAAACCCCCCTTCCTTCCCACGGGACAGAACGTGGCTGGTGCAGCCGCGTCTCTCTGTCAGTGCAGAAGCTAGCAGCCCTGGTCCCTCCTGAGTGGGCCCTCTCAAGAGTGGTGCCAAGTTCCAAACACCTTCATAACAACACTGTGCATTTCTAAGTCATTTCATTTATTGCTCGCTGAGTTGTAACCACCTCAGCTCTCTGTGGAAAAACAAGGGACGTCCAGAAAATCCTGACACCAGGAGATCGATTGCCTGTGGTCACAATGTACAAAGGGCAACACCAGGCAGAGCACTGAGAAACTGTGAAGAGGAGGTAAATGTCTGGCTCTGCACACGCCAGATCCAGTCACCGCGAAGAGCTGAACCCAGAGAAAGCTTTAGAAGTTACACTCAGAGGCATTCCCCATCAGAGACGAACAGTTTTCCAGTCTGTCATACTGGCCAGTGGTGTTCTTTCCAAAGTGACTGAACCTTGGCTCAGCAAAAGGACTTCAGTGAGGAACAGGGGAATAGAGGGGACTCTCCATATCCAAGGCTGTCATTTCTTCAGAACTTACTCAACTCTTCTCAAATCCTCAGCACCCCACATCAAAGCCCACAGTTCAGGCCAAATTCATAAGAAATATTCTTTTATTTCCCTCTCATTTGGGGGTTTGCAATTCTTCTCTTGGATGCCTTTGGGAAAACATTTCATCAAGGTCAATTGCTGTGAAGACATTTTTGCCTAAGAGGATCATCATGCAGGCAAACTAATTCTTTTCCTAAGCTATTATTTTGGCAGCTTGCAAAGAGGACTTGGCTTAACCTTGAGAAACTGTTCTTTGAGTGATCAGAAAAAAAGGATGGGCTTCTTCCTTTATTCACCCTTTTTATTCTTGTCGTTCAGATGGCAAACCTCGCTCACAATTTTGAAGGTGAAATGAAGGAGTAGTATTTGTGTCCATTATATATCTTCTACTGGTAGTGACTTGTTCTGGTTCTGTGCATGTTGCCACCAATCATGTTCAGCATCAATTTTGAAGGTGAAATGAAGGAGTAGTATTTGTGTCCATTATATATCTTCTACTGGTAGTGACTTGTTCTGGTTCTGTTTATGTTGCCACCAATCATGTTCTGCATGATGAAAAAATAATGTGTATTTCTTGATAAAGGTGCTTTACATCTCAATCATCAAGGATTTAATGGAATAATTATATGTTGAAGAAATCTAGGATAAATTGGAAATTTAGATCTTCCCACTGTCTTTAAGTCTGAATGATGTTCTCACTGTTTGCTGTAGGATTATAATTTAGAATATGTGCTAAATAGATCATCAGGAAAGAATTAAAAAATCCATCCAAATATCATAACTTACCACAAAATTAAAAGAAAGAAAGAAAGCAAGAAAGCTCATTCACTCTCCAAAACTAAGATTAGTCATATGTTAATCTGTGAATCCTCATAAGAAATGTTCATTGTTCAAGGAAGAATCCTCCTCTGGTGGTTGATAAGCAATTCTCCACGGAGAGAAATCCTGACATTTTTTTTCTCATCTCTTGATTGATGTTTTCACTACTTATTCTTCAGGCTATAAGACAGAAAGGAACACAGTCTTACCTTTTTTCATAATTACATATTCCAACCCTCCTCTCTCCTTCCTTCCCCCCTCTCTCTTTCAGTCTCCCCCCACATCACTTTAGTCATCAAATTAAAGTAAAGCCAGGGGCGCCTGGGTGGCTCAGATGTTAAGCGTCTGCCTTCGGCTCAGGTCATGATCCCAGGGTCCTGGGATCGAGCCCCGCATCGGGCTCCCTGCTCCGCGGGAAGCCTGCTCCTCCCTCTCCCACTCCTCCTGCTTGTGTTCCCTCTCTCACTGTGTCTTTCTCTGTCAAATACATAAATAAAATCTTAAAAAAAATTAAAGTAAAGCCAAATTTATATGATGAATCTTTTACATTCTAAGTAAACTATAAATATAATAACTCAATTATCAATGCCATCTCTGTGTATGTACAAGAAAATATATGTCTCAATCCTGTCATACCAGACACTAAATTCATTCTGAAAGTTCTTAAGATGAAAATGACAAATTGGTTTTTATTTACGGTGGACTGCATATACCCATCCTTAAGTTTCAAATATAACGACTTGTAGAACCCTCTCGGTGGGAGGAAGAACAACATTATAGCATTTAGATTTCAGATTATTGTTATAAACCAAATTCTCAATTCATTCAGAATTTTCCTTGTTAGAGAAATGGGAAAAACATTTTCTGGCTTTACTCTCAAAAAGTATTGGTTTAAATTAAATAGGTAACTAATTCTTAACGTTTTTGGTTTTGTTTTTCTTTAAGATAAGAAGATACTACCATTTATTGCATGCTTACTATGTGTCAAGAACTTCATATTATTTTACTTATAATTGAATCCCCACAACCACCTTTAATTTGGATGTCATTTCTTCCCATTTTAACAGTGAGAACACTGAGGCTTAAATTGGCTAAGTGGATGGCACATGTTCACACAGCTGCTTAGGGGTGGGGGCTGAGCTCTGGGAAAGATGAGAATCAAAAGGCTTGTTGACATTCCGTGCAGGGAATTTCTGCCACAGAATAGAACATGTCCTCTAGCTGCCTGTGAGGCTACCAAAACAGTCTCAGCTCATAGCTGACAATTATCCCTAAAGCTGTATTTTTAGAGGGGAGGCGGGGCAAAAGTGCAGGAGCAGGTTAGAATCCTCACATAGATTCTCCTATCCTTCGTCACTAAGAGCTAAATATCGTAGTGGAAATCTGGTAAATGAAAATTCACAAGCTACAAAGGAAAACTCTGTCACTCACCTAGAAGCACACAGCATATCTTAAAATTTTATTTTCCAAAATAAGTGCTGTCACAGAATATTCTTAGGATGCAGGTAAGAGTTTGACTGTTGTTGTATAATGCAGACCAAAAGAAAATGGAAACTATATGCATGTCTAGGTTAAAAAGAACTGCTTTGGAATTTTGCCTTTGAATGACCCTGATAAGCACAGCCACTTTTAAATGGTTGTTATAAAAAGAAAAATCCTGTTTTGGAATCCCATATTCAGTTTCTGCTTCATCCGGTCATGACCTGAGGAAATTCTACAGTCCTTGTTATTTTCGTGTGTTAATGTGACATAAAGGTTGAAAGTTCTCATGAAGCAAACAAGTATAATCTCATTTTTATAAATTGCAAAGATCAACACTTTTCAAATTAAAATGAGTTTAAAATGTCATATCTCCTTGTAACAGCGAGAGGACCAAACACACACGCAGCTGAGCAGTCTTCAGTTATGATTACATCATTAGAGGAAACTAAAAGAGGTTTGTTTTTTTTTTAACTTATAGTAAAAGGGGTATATTAAGAACTTAATCCCATAATGAGCAAAAATATCACACTCGTCATTTTTATAGTCAGAATGATTATTCAGATCCTTTCTGAACACAGAAGTAATGACAAATTAAAATGTCTTTCAATTCCATATAGCTTTTATAATTATTCATCCGTTACTCTTATTATTGCTGAAAAGGCTCCTTCGTATTTTAGTCAGCATCCCATTTGATACAAAAGAACATGGAAAATTTTACTGCTATTAATAAATATGCAGCCATCCAATCCAAGAAGAAAATTCTTTTTCATCTGAGAGATAAGCTGCATAATTCATGTATTTTCAGAAATTTCTTTAAATAGAAAATTGAAGAAAGGCATAGGGAAAAAAGAATTCATTATACAGTTTCCATTTGTGGTGAGGGACAGTCTCTGTTCTCAGAGTCTGAAATTTAATTCAATTTGAAGAGACTTTCAATTGCATTATATATGTACAAACATACTCATAGAGCTCACTTTATTTTTGACATATATCATCATAAAAATGATACAACATACCTGCTACTTCACTTAAAAAAAAATGTTACTGAAGGTTACTAGGTACTTTTCTTTGGGTCTTGGAATGCAGTTAGAAAAACTTACAGCAATTTGGAAGGGGTACCTTCCATTTTCCAAAGAGAGGAATGTCCATGTCCATGAACTGGGGGGCTCCATGGGACTCTGGGAGCTCCAGCCCCTGTAGGAGCTCCTCCCAGACAGAGACTTCATGGCCTTGCAGGGTAGGTCTGCATTCTGAGACCCCAGGCTGAATGAGAAGCACATTTGCAGGACCAGTTAAGTTAAAAGGCTTCTCTTCGTACTAGCTGTCCTTTTGCCCATTCAGACCTGGAAGTTTCAGAGAAGGTGGTGCTCCAAACTGGGCATGAGGTAGTAGTCTTATGTACACTGGTAAGGACTTCTTCTTCTTCTTTTTTTTTTTCTTGTAATTGAAGGATAGCTGACACACAGTGTTACGTTAGTTTCAGGTGTACAACCTAGGTATTCAACAGCTCTACACGTGCTGTGTAGCTCCCATCTGTCACCATACAACACTGTTATGATACCATTGACTGTATTCACTATGCTCTACCTTTCTTCCCTGTGACTTATTCATTCCATACCTGGAAGACTGTACCTCCCACTCCCCTTCACCCATTTTGCCCATCCCCCCTCCAGCCTCCCTTCTGGCAACCACCAGTTTGTTCTCTCTATTTATGGCTCTGTTTCCGCTTTAAAAAAAATGTATTTGTTTGTTTTTTAGATTCCACATATAAATGAAATCATATGGTATTTGTCTTTTTCTTTCAGACTTATTTCACTTAGCAATACCTTCTTGGTCTACCCATATTGTCACAAATGGCAAGATCTCATTCTTTTTACCTAAAAAGGAGTATTCATTACCGAGATTGAACTGTTTTCACCATGAAAAATCACCAGAAATGTATGCAGTCTTCCTGAGATGTTATCAAGGTGGGGGGGAAGGGTGGGGAATATGTTTTGACCAGTGTGTTTGGAGATGGCTGCTGGAGAAAAATTGATGTGTTTATCCCACACTGAATTTAAACTGTTCAATAAGCAAGTTAAAAAACAAAGCAGGGTATCCTCAGCCATGATGAAGCCTGGTGCCTGAAACCCAGAGAGCAAGTTAACAGGGACATGAGAAACAAAATCATGGACCATGGCCTCTATGAAATGATGTGGCCAGAATGTGTTAGGTTTGTTGGATGAGGAGTTATGTTCTAGACACTTTCCACACACATGCTGCTGAACAGTCATGACTTCAAATGTGTTCAATCTACTGCCTGAGATGTGCCATGAATGATATCCAAGGACTTGTCATCTTTGCTCAGTTTATTACTATAGGACACAGATAACCCAAATTAAGCTAGATTTCCCAAATCAAGCTTCTCCTAATTTCTATTCTTTCTTTTCCTGCATTACCTAACCCAACAAATAGGAGCTCAAGGCAGAAATTCAGTGTTTTCCCAGGCTTGTTTCTTTTTCTCCTCCACCCCATAACCAGTCAGCCACAAGTCTTAGTGGCCTCCTATTTCATTCTGAAATGAGTCATGTCCTCTGCACCCCAGGCCCATGCCCAATTCCAGGCCCTTGACATGCCACTTGGCTTCTCTCTGGCATCTTTGCAACCAGCTCTGCTGCATCATCACACTGGTATTGTAGTGCTTCACTGGGTTCCCACCATCTACTGGAAAAAAATGTAATACACAAAGGTCATTTGTGATGAGACCACTGTCTTCTCCTCCAGCTCCATCTTTTTGTCAGTGATCCCTGTATCACACTTAACTCCCCTTAACAAATAACTATTTGAGGTTGCTGAAACTGCCATGCTCCCATGTGCTTCTACAGTTTGCACAGGCTCATCCTTCACCCCTGGGCTTCTCCAGCTTTTCCCAGTCCTCTTAGCAGAAGCATGCTTCCTTAAAATATCCTTTCCTGAACTTACCTGGACCCAACCAAATGCATTTGGAATGTTTTGAGCAGCCACTAGGGAATAGAGAACAAAACCTCAAGAAAATGCCCAAGCCACAGCAAGTGATCAGTAAACTGTTATGCTTCAGACAAGGGGTGCAATGTGTCTTGCTTCTGAGAATGATGAAAGGCAGGGGAATGAGCAGGGCTGGAGAAGAAAGAGGAAAAGAGAAAAAAAATGTGGGAGAAAAGATGAAATGTGGAGAGAATGGAACCTGGAAAATGGATTTGTTCTGTGCATGGTGCTACCTCTGGATGATGCCCTAATCTTTGAAATTCATCTAGACAAATAAAATACTTGCATAATGTTAATTGTTAGTGAAAGTTGATGCAGTCTGAGTGATGTGGGGTGGGAGTGGAGGGGAGAAGCACTCAAATGCATAGGGGGAGAAAGATGTAGAAAGACCACAAGACACTGGGAGTTAAAAGCAAAGGCAGGACTTTGGACCTTAACAGATTGCTGTAAACTTTGTTGGATAGTCCCATGCCAAACCAAGAGGACTGAAAGTGGGGTGGAGTTCAGCTGTCACCTCTAACATGTAGGTAGCGCAAGATGAATTTCTCCAAATCCTTCCTGGAAAAACAAGTCCTATGTATTTATAACCCATTGAATAAAAAAATCATTTAAGAAAATTCAAGCTAATTCAGAGAAAAGTCAGATATTATGAACATTCAAGAAGCTGTGAATATTCAAAAGTACAGAATATTTAA